TTCATAAGGTCACAGGCCAAATGATCCATCGGTCGAGAGGATGCCCACGTTGAAATTATCTCCGGACTCGGCAGAAGATCGGCGTAAGGTAGTTGTTGATACGCGTATAGCAGTGGCTTCACGTCCGAGAATCCAGTTAGGCCGGATAACCCAGATAAACCGGAAATATCTTCAGCAGGACTGTTCCCAGACCCTACCACACACATCAGAGCACAGCCTGCTTTAGACACGGAGGATCCCCCTGACGCGTGAATTGCAGCGTACCGAACAATTAAGCAAATTCGACTAGATTCGTTTAATGCCGTGTTAAACGATCGGATCGCGTATCATTCCCTTTCTCTTCTTCGCCACGCATGCACAGATATTTTTTTTTTTTTTTTACGCATAAATATAAAACAAAATCTAGATCACATTTCCGAGTACTAGAAGCCAGGACTTTTTTTCAAATTTAATAAAATATTAAACGAAACCTTGTTCAAAATTTAATCATCTATCGAACTAGATAACTAAATATTATCTATGCCTTGACCTCTAGTTTCTCCGATCCATATTTTTTTAATTTATTCGCATATTTACTTACTATCTACACACGTTTCCATTTCCTTTATGAGTTTGCTTGTAACATCGAACGAAATAAAAAGGAATGAAAGAAATATGTGTACCAATGTAAATAAAGCAGAAGTGGCAATCAAAACTAACTCAAGAATCTGAGAAAGCGTCGAAAATTAATACGCACCTAATATCCACTCTAATTTAAATAAAATTTCAGACAAATGTAATAAGTAATTTTTATCGATCAAATAATAAATAAATCTTAATATAACTTTTTGCCATATTAATCATAATAAATCAATATATATATATAATCAATTATTTTTTTCTCTCTAAATTATCTTATCAAGATATAATGCAATAAAAGATATGTATATAAAAATGAAATATCAAAATATGCATAAATTGCTAGAAGATAAATGTAACATATTCTCTAATAATAACATGCATATGATTATATTTTCTATTATTTTTTTAAATATAAAGCAATATCATATAATTTTCAAAATATTACTAACCTTGATTTCCTTCAAGTTGTCCAGTATCTAATCTTTCTGCTGGATCTTTGTCCGTTGAAGATTGTTTTTGAGAATCTTCTAATACAGTTTCTAATGGTTCTATCTGAAAATATAATAAATTATATTTATTTCATGTTTCATTAACTAATATCATATAAAAAATTTTAAATTAATATAATAATTAACCTTCATTTCTAAACGTTGATAGATTGGATTTTGCATATTTTTTTGCAATAAATAATCTCCTTCTTTACCACCTTGTTCACTGGTTGTAGATTCATCTGTGCTTTCTACTTGAGATACTTTAGGTGTCAGTGCTGTTTCTAATATAGAATTTTGATGTTTGTTCAATTTTTGTTTTTTCTTTGGATTTTCTTCTTTACTACCTGTTCCTTCTTCTACTGCCTGTTCCAATTCTACTAATCTTTTATAAGATTCTTTAGCAAATATATCTCCTCCCGAAAGACCACGGATTTGTAATGTTTCTGCAGCTTTTAAAAGTGCTGGCAAATTTTTTTGTTCAATATTTACTTCTCCTTTATATATAAATATAAGTAAAGCTTCTAGTTCACTGAAGTGTACATCTTGGAGTATTATAACTGGATGTTGACAGGGATTTGTCTATAAATATTGAAGAAAAAATTTTTTAGGCAATATTTTTTATTAAACTATATATATATATATATATATATATATATATATAAAATACAAATGTGATCAAAATCACGTGGCAATGAAGCACGACAAATTTAAAATATGACACGTATTGTTCAAAGTAGGCTAACCTCAAATTTGTACGATTATACATTTAAAGAATTTCTTTCTTAAATATTATTGATTAAAGAGGCTAATAACGAACTTTTTTCAATAATAGAATAACTGTCAAAACTTCAACCAAATCATGAAGTATAGAAAACTATAGAAAACCAACCTGAAAAACTTTTTTGAAAAAAGGACTACTTGCTGAGAGAATCACTTTATGAGCTGTAAGACACTGTCCATCACTTGCCAATGTCACATCTACTAAACCTTCTTCCTCCCAAAGACTTTCGAAACTCGTGGCGATATTGTTTAAAAAACTGTTCCATTTTAGACATATTTGATTTGACATTTCGCAAATAGAAATTTTCGATTTTGTTAGAATGTTGTTTCTCTGTTGTGAATCGTTTGATAGATATCTTTGCACGTCAACGAAATTATTCAACGATAGGAATAACGTTGACGACGATAATAGAAATAACAACGAAAACGACGACGTTGACGACGACAACGACCGCGATATAACAGCAGTGGTGCCAGGCACGCACAAACATCCTTGGTACTGGGTTGGGAATACATAGTCAATATGGCTGCCATATTTTATTGAATTGCGCGCGATCTTAAAAACTTTTATTGCAATGCAATATATTTTTTTTTACTATTTTATTGAATTTAAAGTAATCGATAAAAAAATAAAAAGAAATTTATTCAAAAATTCTTCTTTTCTTTTATATTCTTTGTATAAAAATATAAATTTTAAAAAATAATCTTTTAGATAATAAATTTAATTATTGAAAAAAATATTTATTAAAATATCATTTAAAAAAATATAACAAATATAAAAAATAATTCAGAAAATTATATATAATTTTAGATATTTCAATAATTATACAATTAAAATATATTAAAATAGCAATAAATGGTGCATGCTTATATTGCGTGTATATACTTATGTGAACAAGTACACGCATCAATAATTCCAATGTAAATGTATATATGCAAATATATATATATATATATACGTGCATAAATTTTCGTGTGAATTTAATAAATAACAATGCTTTATAATTGTTAAATTTTTATATATCTCTAACATAATAACATATATTAATAAAGTTTGTATATAGTAATCAATTAATTTATATAATAATAAAAAATAATTTTATAAAATTCCAAAATTTATAAAATTATTGAGAAATAAATTTGTAATAATATATTGTAAAATGTAAATGAGAAGCACTGATGCTTTATGAAATCATCCTTTGTATAATATTTTTCTTATATTTACAAAAGACAATTTTTGGTAAATGGTAAACATAGCTAATAAAAGAATAACTGTAATTCTCCAAGACAAGCTTGTCACATTTAGTCCTTAAGTCTAAACTTTCTAAAATTTCAAAGGAACAGGTATAAATTGTTTCCTTTCTATTGTACGCGCATTTTCCAATTTTATTTAACAAATGGTTGATTCATAATCAACAAATATTATACATCATAAATTATATTATATTAACTTATACTATAATATAAATATAATATAAATNTATATATATATATATATATATATATTAATATATTAATTATTAAAATTTAAAAATTGTTAAATCATAATTAAAAATTTAAATAATCTTTTTATTAATTATGGAATTATTTTAAATGGAACTCGATTTAATTAACATATCTAATAATAAACAACATTGAGAAGGCAAATTGTCCTGAAAGTAAAAGAATATCAAACGGTTTATAGCCAAGACTTCGGAAGGGATAATCACCCCCGAATTTCTTTTGAACTTTCCATACGAATTTTCTCTTCCTGATCGTCCAATCAGGAAACAAGGTACTTTTCCTTACAGGCTAATTTTCTACTTTACTTGTGACTTGTCTCTTGTACTGTGCGTTACGAGTGTTTGCTACAAACTAGACAGAAATTTGAATTTATTTATTTTTTTTTTTTGAATTTTAATAGTGATCGACAATCAACAATCATGTCAAAGAAAAATATAAGCAAAAAAAATGGACAATATCACTTCAATGATAAAGTAAGTAATTTCGTTTATAAAAAAAAAAAAAGAAATAACAGTTATGTAAAGTTAGAAATCATTAATTTAACAATGAAGGTAATTTTTTTTTTATATTTGTTATTTTATAATATTTTTTTGTTTAATCAAATAAAAATAATTAATTAAAATACTTATCACTCGAAACAATACAGTGTTTGATATGTATTTATAATGGTATTACCTTATAAATAAATTAATATTAATTATGTTTTAATTAAATTATCTAACTTTTAATAATATTTATATAATAATAAATTTTTTTGATGTTTGAAAAAGTATTCATTTTTACACAAAATTACCTCGCGCAAAATTCGAATGAAATTCATTAATTGTATTTCATCACACAAATTTTTAATATCTGTATATTTATTTGTTTAATGATCAACATTTTTTAGTTTTATATGTAAATATATCGTTTCAAAACTTAACAAGTTTTTTTTATATTATATATTTATTTTATATATTTATATATTTTATTTTATATATTTATATATTTATATATTATATATTTATATATATTTTTTTATATTGTTTGTAAATATATTATAATATATAATAATTTATATATTTAATTAGTAAGTTAAAAGTTTAAATATATTGTAAGAATTGCATTTATATTTTACATATTTTTTTCAAGGTAATTCATCAAAAAATATTACCTCGTCAAGAATTATCAAAATTTGTGTTCAGAAGCAAACGAAAATTATTTCGAAAAATATCGAAACAAAATTCAAAAATATTAAAGATATTCATGTCATTGATAAAAATTTTGCAATCATTGAAAAATAATATTAAATATATCATATTCCAAGCGTATTTTTTATATATTTGCATATGTAGTATAATTTCTTCGAAATTCATTAATTCCAAAAAATATATAGAGAAAACATATAAGGATTCCATTGATAAAAAATATGAGGTAAACGATGAAGAAAAGAAAATAAAGACAGAACAAAAAACAGAAAATCCAAAAAATGAAGATAAATATGCGTCGTCTCATAATAAGAATGACAAAGAAAAGAAAAATAATGACGATACTGATAAAATAATAACTACTAAAGAAAATTTTGACTCTTCTGAATTATGGAACGTCGCGAATGATATAATAATAATGAACATGAAAATAGAGAATGAAGATATTAATAGATCTATAGAATCATGTAAAATCGCGGAAGAACCTGTAGAGATATCAATTGAACACATTGTTAATAATATGAACTCTGAAATAATTACATCTCAAGAAAATGAAGTGTCTACAAATGCAACGAACAATGATTTTCAAACACAATTTTCGAAATCATTCATTGATGAACAAGATAGCATTTCTGTAAATGAAGAAGTTGCACAGATATTTCAAAAACAATATAATTCTTCGGAAGACGAATTTAATTCTTCTTCGTTCCATACATGTTGTGCTTCTTGTAAATGCGAAAGATCAAAACAAAATAATTTTTATTGTCGTAAAGTAATCAATAATTATTCTCACAATTCCCCGTTTATATCTGAATCAAAAAATGAGGAACGAATGAAGAAAACTGAATGTACCAATGCTAAAAGAAAAAAAGTTATATCTCACGAAAACGAAAAGTATACAAAATATAGAAGTGACAAAAATACAAAGGAAGAAAAAGACGAGTCTCAAAAAAATATTTCGCCTAAAAATAAATCAAATCGTTTTTCAAGAAATCGTTTGCCAATAAAAATTAATAAACTAAAATATAAAAATATTAAATATAAAGAAATGGCTACGCAAACGGATAACAGCCTTTTGATAGATAACGATGTTGAAGTGATATCAACTGATACGAATGGTTCCTCTGAACAACAATTTTACTGCAAATCTCAATTCAATCATTTTCAAGTACATCATTTACAATTTTTATTTTATTCTATTTATATTCTATATTATTCAATAATTTTAACATATTATTTATTTTTTTTTAGGGTAAAGTGATAGTACAACAATTAAATTACATAAGGAATAATGAAGAATCAAGTATTGGATTTTTAAGAATCGCACATAAACAAATTACGTCATGCAGTACATCATCTTCATCAACAGATCTTGGTTTCGTTGAAGATACATCTATAACTTCTGATATAAATAGTGCAGTAAGGCACATAAACATATCTAATAATGCAAATACTCCAAGATGTACTCGTCCTCCTCCTGGTTTTCCTGAAATACCACAAAATAGACCTTTATTGTCTCAAATATATGATCCTATAAATATTATATTAACATCTTCGATGTATGAAAATTCTGTCTATAATTCTCGTATCAACACGGTAACAATTGTACCACCAATGCCACATCTTTATTACAATTATCCCGAATTTATGGATTTTTCTACTTATAACAATTCTTCAGAAACGTTAAATAATTCCTAGAAAAAAATTATTATGAATAATATTTTTATTTCAAACAAATTTATTTATAAACAAATAAAGTTTTTTTTGTATAAAAAATAATTATATGTATATATATATATATATAAAATAAAGAAAAATTCATTATGAAAAAATCGATCTTAATGTTAAAATATTTATTAAAAATATATACAAAATATATAAAGCAAAATTTAAAGAATTAAGATATTTTCTTCAGTATTTTACGGCGTAGGCATAAATGATAAATTCATTGGCGATAATTGACTTCCTGATGTAACATCTGGTCTTTCTCCTTGTTCAATAACTGGATCTGTTTCATTCATATCTTCTATCTATAATTAATATAATATTAAAATTTTATTAATATTATTTAATTCTAAAATATAATATTTTATTTTATTATTATTAATAAATATTTTATAATTACCACCATTGAATGTTCAAATTTTCCTCTTTTTTGGGCAATCGTTCTTAACAATGCTTTAGCTTCTTCTTTTGTTTCATCAAATTGCAAACATTTTTGAGCATAATGATTAGCATAATCTAATTGCTCTCTCTTTAAATGATATTGTGTTAAATATTTATATGCATGACTCAAATCAGTTCTATCTGCATTTCTAAATTCATCCATCACAAAATCTGTATAAGCTGCTGCTGCATGATCATGTTCACCTAATTTTTCGTATAACCTACAGTATATTAGAACAAATTTAAATATATATACATCATATACGTCATAAAGGAAATATCTTTAATACATACGTAGCTAATTTTAATAATGCCATTCCTTCAATGTCACCAACATTACATGCTTTATAATAACATTTCAATGCATCTTGTATTTTATTTTGTTTTTCATATGCTTCTCCTAAAGCTAATACCATTCTACTATCGTGTGGTCTTAAAAGCTGGGCTTGTTTGTAATAATATAATGCATAAAATGGCATTTTTAAGATTTCATATGTTTGACCCAAACCATACCATGCTCTATAATCCCGTTTATTAACCTCTATATAAAGAAATTGATTAATACATATAGAAATAGATATTTAATATTGTATATGAATATGAAAGTCCATATACCAATAGCTTGTCTATAACTATGAATAGCACCATTGGTATTTTTCATTTCCATGAATTCATGGCCAAGTAATGTCCAAGCAGAAAGATATTGTGGATTTAATTTCAATGCTCTATGAAAATACATTACTGCTTTTTGATGATCTCCTCTTAAACTATAATAATTTCCTGAAAAAACATATTTTAATTAATCAAACAATAAAATAATAAATTTTCACATATTTTGCTATGGAATGTAGTAAACTTACCTACTATACAACATGTTTCTAATCTATATTTATCTATTTCTGTTGCTCTATGTGCTAAATATGCTAATTCAACTTTCATTTCTTTTACATAAAGCAAATTAGAATATGTATCCATATTGTCTAAACAATAAGGATCTTCTTTTATTATTGTTTTAAATGTTTCTATAGCATTATCAACATCTAAAATTAAAATATTATAATTTAATATATTGTAATAATATACTATAAAAATTAATAATTTGTTTAAAAATATGACATTACCTCTTCTATAATGTACAGCAATAGCAGTTTGAGCAAGTACATAACCATTCTTTTCAAATCCCATTGATTGTAATTCACAATATAACGCTAAACCTTCATCTATTAATTGCAACTCTAAATACATATGAGCCATAAAAAAATGCTTCATCCAATGATTAGATAAGCATAAACTTTCAAGCTTTTCTCTATCAGTAATTAAAGAAGCTAATTCTAACCAAGATCCCCAATGCATAGGCTGCTTATGAGTTGCTTCAACCAATACATCTGTAGCTTCTTTGGTAAGTTGTAATTTTTTTAATGTTACACCGAAAAGATAAAGACCAAATCCATCAAGTTTATCTGCCAGGTGATCTTTTCTCAAATCAGCACACAATAATCTTAAACTCTCATTTTTTAAAGGATCTGGAGGAACTACTGTCATATCATCTATTTTTTTCTTTTCTCCAGATAAATAGCGAGAATATAAATGTAAAAATCGAACTTTTGGAGTTTTGCATTGCTCAGTAAAGTAAGCTGCTCTATCATATTCTTTTAAATCAAAATACGTTTTTGCTAAAATATATGTATCCTCCTCATCGCTTGTATCCGATAAATATAAATCGGCGGTAATATCATGAATGTTTAATTTAACATCTTTTAGAGAATAACTTAATTCTGCTAGCCTGTAGAAAAAATACATTTTTCATTTCCCATAATAATGAAATATTCGTTTGATTATATATCAATTGATTATACCATTTTGTAGTATGTAATAATCCGCGTTGGGAACATTCGTTTATCGCGCGTAAAAGATCAGTTTTAACCTCTTTGATGTCAAACTTTATTAATTCTTCCATGTTATATATGTTATGATATACATCAATATTGTATTCAACGTTATAATAAAATCAATTAAATAATAATTCTATACATATGAAAAAAAAAATTCATGTTTGAATAGATTTAATTTATCAAACAAAACATAAAATTATTTATATGCATTATAATATATACGAACTGTATCTCTTTTAACATTTAACTAATAGCACCATCTTCCTCAAAAAAGCTGAAACTTATTATACATAACATAAAATCATGTATCTGTATATCATTTTACGCAGTTTTAAAGATAAGATAATTTATAATTGTAGAGAATTATAAAAGAATATGAGAAAGGGAATGAAATATTCAATCAATGACATATAAATTTTATTAAACATTTTACTTACTTAACTACAAAATAGATATTATATTCTTTATAACATAAAAGAATACATAATTGTGCATAATATATATGCACAATAGTAGGCATAGATGTATAATATGTAAATACTTAAAACATATAAAAATTGGATTGAACAGATTTCGTTAATATATTTTAATCAAATTAAACAAATAGAACAATAAAGTTAATTAGATATTAATTAGATAAGACTACTTTTGAACAATAAATAAATTTTAGAACAGAAAAATAGTGAAAGAAGAAATATTATAATCAGCGCTATTCCAATGAAATACATAAAAAAAAAAGATAAAAAAGAAAAGAATAGAAATAGGATAAAAATATCATCTCTTATAAATATCAAAGATATTTCTTCAAAGGTAGGAATTGAAAATCAGCCACCATTTCTTATTCTTTTTTTCTAAATACTTTTAAAGAAACCTTTGTTATTTAAGAAATGATGATAATAATCAATTCTTATCTTATTTTTAATCTTCTTCTATTCGTTGTTTTTTTATTTCTATTTTATTTTTTATTTTTGCAGCACTCTAAAGATGATTTTAATATTTTTATTCTATTTTTATTTGTATTTCTGTATATTTCCCATTGTATTTTATCTTTCTTTTATTTTTTCTTCTATCTTTCTATTTCATTTTCTTTACTTTTCTTTTTATTAGCACATAATCATGAAGATACGAAATATCAATCAAACACATTTTCATTATTTTTTTTTCAAATTTTCAATAAAATATAGATATTATATTCTTAGTTTTACAATTTATCGTTAAGATGACGATTTCATAAAACATAATATATTTTTAATTAATATAATATATTCAAACATAATATATTCTTAACTATATTTCAATTGTTGTCAAATTAACATATAATTATTTCATATATAAATGATTTTTACATATTTGAAAAGATCATATATAAATATAAATATTATTTAGAAGATATTAAATCCAAAAATTTTAAAAAAATATAAATTTATTTTTGAAAATATAATAATAAAAATAATGTAGGATATCTTAATTTTCATTAAATAAATAAATTTACTTTGTTATCGATAACAATATCGATAATATATAATAAGTTTGTGCATTTTCAAAAGAGATGGCGTTATAAGTTAAATTTCATCTATGATATAAGCAATATTAAAAAATTGTGTTGTTCATGAAAATCGAAAAATTATAATAATTTAACATTGAAAACGGAATTAATCATCAGATAGGAAATAAAAAAAAGAAATTGTATCAAAATTAAAAAATCCTCAATTTTTATATGTTGTAAAATTAATAATATTGTTTTATATAAGCTATATTTAGGTTAGATGTGGGATAAAAAAGTATATTAGATGATAGATCTATTCTATGTTTCGTTTGTGATGATATTTATATATGTGATTTAGTGAACATTGTGTATTTAAGTTTGTATCTAAGTTTTGTAGATAAGTTTAAAAATATTTTTGATATATTTTTATATATTAAAATTTAAATAACTCGAAACTAATGAATATTCAATAACAAATATTTTAGAATATTACAAATACTATTATAATGTCTTATTCTTTAATTTCATGGGTAATGTAGTAAATAATTTTTATCACATATAATTACAATTATTTTATTCAAATTTAAATTTTGATAATTGTGATTTATATTTTTGAAAATATAAAATATTATTTCATATGATTATTAATATCGATATAAACAAATATTTCTAAAAATATTGTGCGTGAAAGTGCATCATTAGAAAATATTATTCATTATCGATAAAAAAGATTTAAACGGATATCGTACTAAAGAGCGGGAATATTTTAAAATAGTAATTTTAAATAAAAATTGTTTATTTCATAGGGTGCTAATTCTCACGGCCAACTTGGTCAAGGATTTCGGTCGGAAGAATGTGTTTTACCATGTGAAGTTGATTTATCAAAATGCTCATTAGAACCACAAAAAATAAAAAAAATAATTGGTGGTGCTAGTCATACCTTAATTTTAGATGATTATGGTTGCGTTTATTCTTGCGGTTGGAATAATAAAGGGCAAGTGGGTTTTTCTACAAAAGAAGATATTCTTTTATTTCAAAAATTAAATGGAAAGCTAAAAAATAAAGTTATTGTGGATATAGCATGTGGTTGGGATTGCTCTGCTGCATTAACAATAGAAGGCACATTATTTGTATGGGGCTCGAATTCTTTCGGGCAATTGGGAAAGCATCCAAATGATTTACAGTGGACGCATGAACCCTTCGAGGTTGTAATTGATCGAAAAATCAAAAAAATTTCTATAGGTTTAAGACATACCGTTCTAATAACGGAAGATTATAAAATTTTTGTAGCGGGGACAGGTAGTAAAGGACAATTAGGTTTAAGTTCCACGAAGAATGAAAAATCTTTAAATGCTGTATATATTTTTACAGAAGGTAAGTAAATTTAAACCAGTTTCTAGCTATAATATGAATAAAGATTAGATTATGATAATTTTATACAGTTTTGACATTATCGAATATTGAGGATATCAGTTGCGGTCAACATCATACGATAGTAGTAACAAAAAATGGAAATTTTTATGCATTTGGTGATAACAAATATGGGCAATTAGGAATAAATACAGATATATTTCCGAAAACATTAATTCCTACAAAACTGTCAGATCTTCAATTTAAATTACCATTTAATTTATACAGTGGTTGGTCGCATGTGATTGTATTAAAGAGTAATGTATACATACTTTTTATAATTAATATTCATATAAAATAATATTTTAAATTTTATTATTTTATCAATAGATAATTATATTTTTGGTTGGGGCCGAAATACATATGGACAATTGGGTATTGCACAATTAGAAAAATCATCGACTTGGAAAGCTATACAACTTGAAAATATACCTAAAATATATCAAGTTTCTGTAGGTTCAGAACATAATGTTGCGCTAACTGGTATATAACATAATATAATTTATATAAAAAAAATATATATATATTAAAAAATGTTTAAAAAAATATTTCATTTTAGAAGATGGAAAAATTTTATGTTGGGGATGGAATGAACATGGAAATTGCGGAAATGGCCATACTAAAGATGTTAAATTTCCGGAACAACTTCTACTCTCTTATGATTATGTGGGTATTCTTGTCGGAAGTGGTGCAGCTCATTCATTTGCAGTAATAAAAATATCTCCTAAGAAATAATAATAAAAAAAAAAATAATAAAAGAAAACTAAAAAGAAAGCTTGATTAATTTATGTTATGAAATCCCTATATGTATCTGATCTTATCAAATGAATATATGTACATAATGTATATAATGGATAATGAATATTGAAACATAACAAAAGAAATTTTCTTTTTCAATATTATATGAAAAAATTATAGCTTCATTTAAATAAATATTAATAAACGACGAACAAAAATTAGTATAGTATAGATATAGTTGAAAATCGACCTCACCTGTAGGCACAATGCACCACCTGCTAACAATCAGTATTCACGCGAACGTAACTATAGAAGTGTGTTGGTTTCATACGAAGATCGATCGGTTTAAATAAAAGAAATTGCGATATTACATTCGATAAAATGTTACGTTCAAGATCTCAAAGCAGCATTTGGTATGTATTTTCAATTATTTATCATATAAGTTTAAATTTGCATTTATAATTATTATTTTATTAATATTATTCATCAGGGAACAAGAAGCAAAGTTTGTACAAGATAGAATATCCAACGTAGAGAAACATTTTGCGGAATTATGTACAACATTCGCAGCATATACAAGAAAAGCAGCAAGGTTTATAATTAACTACTATTATATTTTTATAATATCGATCTTTTATTTTTTCTATTATTCTATTTTATTTTATTTTTTGATAATATTTTTTATATATATTTATGTAATATATTTTGAGATTACGTGATAAAGGAGATGAAATAGCAAAAATTATACAAACTTATGCTGAATCGGAAACTATAAATCGATCTTTATCTAACGGATTGACAAACTTTTCTACGACTTTATCTGTAATAGGCGATTATAGGTATGTATATATTTATAAAATTGAATAAGTATAAATAAATATTTGCAATAAATTTCTTTATTTCATATATTTCAAATTATTGCAATTTTTATCCAATGTTTCAGAGATGCTCAAGTGCAAAGATTTGATGCTAAAATAATTTCTTCACTTTCTCAGTATGCGACAATTTGCAAAAACGCTCGTGATGATGTAAAAAATACATTTACAGCACGCGATAAAGAATTGACAAGAAAAAGACATTTAGATAGACTTAAAGAACGAAATCCGAGAAATAGACAAATGATCGTATCCTTGTATTAAATTTAATTTAATTCATTGATTTATGTACAAAAATTAAAAACTATACTAGTTTAAATTCTTAAAAAAAGAAAAATAGTCTCAAGCTGAATCCGAGCTAATGAAAGCTTCTGTTGAAGTTTCAAGAGTTGTTAAGGGTTTAGAAGAACAAATCGATACATTTGAAAAACGAAAATTACATGATTTGAAAACTATACTTTTAGATTTTATTATTATTGAATTAAGTTTTCATGCAAAAACTCTTGAATTATTGACGAAGGGTTATCATGATATTGCAGGAATTGACGAAGTCAAAGATTTAGAGGTAAATTTTTTATTTAAAAAATATTCTAGTTTTAATATAAAATAATATTGGATATTTCTTTTATTTTTTATTTTATTATAAATAATATACTATAATATTGTATAATGTTTCGAAAATACTATAAATTAGTATTATTTTGATATCTTCTCACAGGACTTTCAAATAATAAGAGGAAACATGAATGGGGTAATTTTTTATTCAAATAGTTTTAAGTTATATTAACTT